CTGTGGACTCTCCTGATGATGTTGAACAATGAAAAATGAAGAAAACCAAACGACTTCCTGTTCAGGTCTAAAAATATGACACCAGTTCTCATCTCACAGGAAAATATGAAGGAAATTTATTTGTTTGTTTTAAAGGATACAAACTTTTTTTCACAACAGCACAGATTTTTTTAAGTAAGTTATAGCAGCAGGAGTTTTATTCGGTGTTTTAGACACATGAAGCTCAGTGGAACCAAGAAACCAGAGCTTTAAAAGAAGTGGCAACTGTTGCCTTTCAGCCCAAAGCCTGATCTTTCTCCTGTCCAACTCACAAGCTTTTAATACCAAGATTGTTTAGCAAGAATGCCACCAGTCCCATGGTCGGCCATCCCTCCAATCCCCAAATATAACTTCTTTCCCATTTTAAATACGGACACACTTTTATTCCATGTTCACAGGGACACGACTGAGTAAATGTCAGACTGGACAAATGAAAACTCCTGCTCAGGGACGTAAAGTTTGTGTCCAGAAAGACTGGAGGTTCTAACATTTACAAACTGTGACTGTGCTGTGACTTCAGCCATCAGCTGTGCTCCTCTTCCTCCTCCAGTTGGCTGATAAGGGTTGTGATTATGTCACCAGGCACATAGCTTACACTCAAGAATATTACATAAAGCTGCAATGACATGATGGCAAAGTCTAGTAATCATCTCTTTCCTGTAACCTTTAGTTCGATTGTCTTAAAATTAACAGGTGCTTCCATTTCTGCCATTTTCTCCAACATGAATTTAATTCCAGCTTAAAAGTGCTTCTAAATACTTAACAGCGTTCATAACCTTTCTTCCCTTCCCTGAACAGCCACAATGAGTGCCCTGCCATGTTGTGTCCTCGTCCTCCTCCTATTCGTCCCCATCCTCACTGAAGCCAAACGCCAACCAGGGCAGGAGAAGCCCGACAAACCCCGTCAGCCTCCTCCATCACCTCAACCGGCCAAGAGACCCAGAAATCGCTCCGTGCCAGGCTCCGGAGAGCTGACCACCAAGGAGGGGCATCGCTGTGTTTGGCAGACATCGGGTGAAGGTCTGGTGAGCCTGCTGGTGAACTGCAGCATTGAAGCACAAGGAGACCTGCAAAGGTGAATTATAAATCCTCTAAACATTCATACTGGTGCTTTGCTCTTGCTTCAGATGACTCAGTGTTTAGTCCTCGTTAGTTCATGTTAATAGATATGGACTTGATTTCTCAAGCTTCACTTTTGTTATGGAAACGAGGTGAGACCTTATTTTCCTGGTAAGGCTTAGTACAGAGTATCAATGTGAACACACGACTGTAGAAAAAGGAAAGAAGTTTTT